TTAGGGTTTAGGGTTTAGTCTCAAGGATTCAGAAAAGCTTTAAAGGAGGGCCTCAAAATATGGGTGCGGTTTTTGGAGGGCTTCCTCATAGAGGGTTTGGGGCAGAGGAGGTGTAGAGCATATCAGAAGTACCCGGAAAGCAGGCCGCAATCCTTTCAGCAAAGGCTTCCGGGAGCTTCGCATTCGGGTTTGGGATACCCAGAGACTCCAAAATCCCTTANNATTAAGGAATATACCTCAAACTATAATAGGACCCTAATATGGTTTAAGGTATATTCCTTAATTAAGGGGTTTTGGAGTCTCTGGGCTGAGGCCCGGCTTCGGAACCTGGAGCCCTAAGTGGGTAGTTCTCTAAATTAGGGTCTCTTTTTAGGTCCCCAATATAGTACGGCACCCTTATAAAAACGACCCCAAAAGCGACCCTAATTCAGAAAACTACCCAAGTGCCTGTGGACTAGGGACTAAAGTTTCGAGGGTGGGGGTGGGCGGAGCAGCACGAGGGGAGGCGCATCCCGGTGCAGGAGACTGACAGAAACAGGTTCAAAACATCAGAAGCCTTCTTGGTCTCAGGCTTCACCAGGCTGAGATGCCGATTCCTGTTCAGACACGCCGGTGGAGCACGTAGCCCATACGTAGCTTCCCGCCATTGCTGCTTCTGGTGTTGAGTAGTCGCTGCCAAACACCGAACCCAAAGCCGAAACCGCACCTTAATCTGTAGTTCGCCTGCACTCCACGAGGGAAGCTTGCGGGCTCGCGAATCCACAGCTTGCCGTAACATAATGGCTTTTGGCCGAAGATCGGTCTCTACAAGTTCAAACAATGCCTGCGGATCGTGGGTGTATGAAGATCCCAGCGTTTTAAACGCAGGGCCTTAAACCCACCAAAGCTGTTCTGGGCTTGGAGCCTAGACAGCGCAGGCTCTCCAACGGAGAAAACTTGGGCTTGTCCACAAGCCACTTTTTTCAATAAGGGGGTCCAGGTTTTCTTCTAGGCATACGGCTTTCATACGGTTTTTCAGGATCCCTGCAAGGGCTGACGGTTCAACGTCCAAGGGTTTCGGATCTAGGTTGCAGGTTCAGGGTTCAGGGCTTGGGGCTAGGGAGCAAAACCTTAAACCTGTAGAAGGCCCCAAAATGACCTTAGAAAAGCCTATACAACTCTCAACAAAGCTGATAGAAAGCTTAGTTGCAAAACGAACAGCCTAGACGACCCTTGGAAAATCCTGCGAAATGCGGTCTCTCCCGGAAAATGCCCTAGCAAGCTCTTCCTCAACATTCGTTGCTCGCGTTCGGTAGACTGGCAGGCAAGGATCACTGAAGCAGACCTTGATTGAGGAGTCCTCAATCGTAAAGCCTCAACCCTAAATCCTGAGGTTTGAAGGCTTAAAGAGTTTCTATCTATCTAACATATATATATATATATATACATATATATATATATATATTTATTTATTTATATAAGTTGTGTATACTTTTTCGTTTTATGTTTGCAGTCTAAGACAAGGATTCAAGCTCAGGGCTTGAGAACTCTCGGGCTTGGGGTGTCGTCATTGTAATGGACTCTGGTACGCCTTTGGATTTTTAAATGGTTCCTACAAAGGGTTCTATAAAGGGTTCTATAATGAGGGTTCTAGAATAGAGGGACCTCAACAACCACGGGGGGGCCCTTAACACTTCGAACAGGGCTTTCAGGCTTGTGTAGGATTCCAGCGACAGTCTTCAGATGACCCGACTTCCCAGTCTGCCGCAAGACCAGCCCGAGCCCTCCCTCTGACCCAAACAGGGACATCTACTGAAAACTACATCTACGGGTTTAGGGTCTAGGTCCAGGGTTTAGCGTTTCGGCTTCAGGGTTTCGGATTGCAATTTTACTTCCATGTAGCCAACAACACGAAACTCATCGTTAGCACAAGTTCTACCGCAACGTCCGATTCAGCCTGTAGCGGTACGATTGCAAACCGAAGATGGCAGAGACATTAAAGAGAATAGTCTATTGTTCGTGCTCGGCCCTGGGGACCTGGAATAACACGCAGATGCACGCCACGTGCAGATTGCCGAAGAAACCACACCACGCTCGCCCAAACGACATGCCGTCATCCCTGAATCGCCAAACGGCTCAACCCGGCAAGGAGAGCTCGGCCGCGACAACTTCCTCAACCCTCGAACCCTGAGCCCTTAAACTGAAAGCCTCAACTCTCAAACCCGAAATGCACCAAGACGACTGTTTGGGTACAGGACTTTGGGGCAAATGTACAATGACTAGACAGCACCACGGTTGCCAACGAGGGGGACATTCTCCAAATGCAGGGTTTAAGAGTTCAGGCTCGACGGCTTCCCAGGGGCAAAGACATGCCCCTTAACATCCGGGAATTGGAGATTGACAGGCTTCGATGGCCTGTTCATCTAAGGGCGCGCCCCTTGCACCACATGTGAGTGCACAGAAAAGCCAGGTGCACCGTTCTATCGGATGCAGAGAAACAAAGGCTCTGCATCCCAGCTCCCGGCTCAAGAGCCGAGCCACGCAGAACTTGAAAGCATTGGGGGCCGATGAAAGACCCTAGCGGCGCCTTTATGAATCTTCCAAAAAACATGCTTATCCTATCCTATCCTATCTTTTCAGGCTTGCTTCCCCCCTACTCGCCTTTCCAGCCGAACGAGCAACTGCGCGGCTTCCCTGATGCAGCGAAGACCACCCATGGGCCTTCACCTGAGCCATGGTTCCTACCTTCACAGGGCCTCGGGTCATCTCATGAGTGCACCTCAGGAGCCCAAAAAAAAAACGCTCTAGGGCCCTTTGAACCCAAGCCTTGTGGCCTTGCCCCTAAACCCTAAACCCT